TGGCTCTGTGCCTGTTCTTGGCTGACTAAACAAACAGCAGGATCAGACCTTTGGCCTGCAGCATCTGTGCTGATGAGAACTTCAGGCATTATCACACTATTCAAACGAGTTCTCCTCTCCCAAGAAAAGGCCAGATTGTGTCTACCATGCATTGACCTGTAATGGGGAAATTTCAGAGCTTTGCCTTCACCACAAGTGGAGCTGTGGAAGACACCACAGCATGAACACAAGAAGAAGAACAGCTATTTCATATTCCTTAGCATGGAGAGGCAGAGACATATTAAAAATCCACATAGGAGACTTTCTGCCTCTTCTGTTTCACCTGACTTTTTTCATGCAGCCTCAGTCTGCCTAAAAGAGAGTATTATAGCAAAACAATATCCCAACAGTTCTTCAGAAAAGGACCAAAGTAATGAGTGTTCATATACCTCAGCCAGAGTTCACCAATGACCCATCCATCTCCCTGTTCCTTGTGTACCCTGCAGTTTGCTCTTCTTCCCTGTTGTCCACGAAGAACAAATGATATGGGGGTGGAAAAGGTAAACAGAGACATCTGTTCACGCTCATTTCTAACCAACACAATCTCCTACTCAGTCACGGGGGACAGTGTGGATTCTGACAGTGAGTCAGAGTCAAAGGGAGGAGGTGTGAGAGGTGGCTTTGGTTTGGTCTATGGAGGAAGGCAGTTGTGACTCAAACACTGCACAGTGATCAGCTGGAGCCCCCCTAAATAAGGGGGATTTGCTCCCCAGCCAGTCTGCTGTGGGCTGTGTGTGGTACCCTGTGGCTCCAGGAATCTAAATGCTTTACTGCAAGGAGGTAAAAAGTGTGATCCCCTTCAGAGAGAGCAAGGCTACAGAATTCTTAAACTTAATTTTCTTCCCAGCCCTTTGTCCCTTTCTTTTCTCCAGTTGTGGAAGATACAGAAGCCCTGATTTAGAAACTGAAAACAAAATGACCAAACTCAATCATAAGATGAGATAAAATATGCATTTTATGCAGTATCACGGCAAAGATTTCTATGGTATCTGTGAGACAGAGAAGTACCGATGGCAAAAGTTTGTGCTACATGTACTAGTCAATAAATGAGAACTCCACACAAGATTATAATGTGCATGTAACTAATTTGCATTTCTAGGGTAATAATTCATTGGATAATACAACTTTCATTTGGTTGGGTTGGCAGTGGGTAAATTTGCTACCGATCTACTCTTGTAAGCAGAGCACAGCAGGAGAACGTAATTAATGGACTGTGTAAAGAGAGTTCATATACACACACTGGTGCCTCTTAAGAGTTTATCTATCATCTCTGAAAACTCTATTTTTGTTATGGTCCACAAGCCTCTAATGACAAGTATTTCCCAGAATGGTTCTAAAAATCTTATTAGTGGAAAAGATTTTCAAATGTATCTGAACAAACTGGCAGAAAACATTTGTTCCTGTTTCTAAGCTGACAACAATATTATTAAAATAAATGCATTAAAAAACTATTGTTTACTTTACATAATTACTAAAAATAGAGCTTTTACCAGGATGGTAGTGGACTGATATGCTTTCATTTTAAAACTAGCTATATAGTCTGGCATACATAGGAAAAGTCACTTGTCACACAAAAAATTCCTCTTCTTCGCGTGGTGTAGATGAAGCATCTCCTTAATATTTATCTGGTCTATGATAGATGGCTCTGATAGAAAAGCTATCAGAGTGAATCTCCACCATGACATTACACAATAGACAGAAGGAAAATGAAGCAGGATATTATTCACAACCTAATATTCAGACAGTACAAGTACCTGTGCAATGCATGGCTTATTCTGCTCTGCTGAAACCAAAGTGAGTTTCGCTATTGGCTCGAACAGCACTTTCTCCCTTCAAGCACTCAGCACCGTGAAGGACACAGTCCTTTCAGTTCTGCATGGAGTATCAGTTAGTTGTGCATCAGTATCAGTATCAACTATTTATGCAACATAAACGGTATATGGATGCCATGAGTAATGAAATATTTTATGCTGAATCAGTCATAACTTATCTGAAAGCCTCTTGCTGCTTTCTGCTGGTCACTATGTGGAGTTATTCCAGCTCTTCCATTGCACTCTGTCACTGCACCCTTGCCAACAGCCACATCATTTCAGTAACTGTCCCAAGTCCTTTCCAATACTCAGCCTGTTCAGTGATAACAGTCTGTGCCTCCAGCAGGCTGGGACAAGCAAGGGGAGTTCAGCTGTTTGGGCAGCATTTGCTGGATCCTGACAACAAACCCAAAGTTGGGTAAACTGATACCACAGTTGGATCTCATTCATAAGCCACCTGTGTAACTGTGATCCTGTGTCATGACTTATTACCTTATGCTTTCTGTAGCAATAATGCTTGCCCATTCTTTTAATTGCAAAAGTGATTTTAAAGCAGCTTTCAATCTTCAAAGGGCAGATGGGTTTTCTAGAAAGATTCCTGAAAGCCTTTGAGCAGGCTAGAAACATGAGACTTTCACTCCACAGGAGAATTTGCTCTCTGTACATCAAGATACAGCATTCATTTCTAAGAAAGTAAAGAGTGATGGAAGATAGTGGCATTTTGCCACAGCAGGGAAATTATCAAATATGATGCATTTCAGCTGAACACACATTTTATATCAGTTTGTTAGAGTCTCTCTTTAATGCTGCCAGAGCTATACTTTCTGAAAACATACTGGGAAATGTAGGCATTATTTTTTCTTGTCTTTCATATATATGAATATGTTGGTTTTGGCTTCCAGTGTTCTGTTACAGATTACATTTAGCATATGGAAAGCTTCTAAATATCTATTATGTAATATTGAATATGTGTATTAAAAAATGAACTTATTCCTTGTGTTTTTCATGCGTGTGCATCGGCATTTTTCCTGCACCACACTGCAGCTAGAGCCTTTGTAACTTTAAGCTAAACCTAATAACATCAGTCACTGCAGCAGGAAAATACTTTCCCCTGGAGTAAGATACAATGATGACATAATGCTGTGGTTTCCAAATCCCAAGCCAGCTGTTACTGGTATATGCATTCAAATTCACTGTCTCTGCACCCCTGTGAAAGGCAAAAAGGCTTGTGACTTGATTCAATAAATGATTTATTTTTTTGAATGTATAATTCACAGACATAGCTTGTGCACGGCTTCAGACACAGAGTGGGAAAAATTCACTTAGGCAGTTTCCTACTTTAATAAAACGGAAAGAGGATATAATCCATCTGCATTGACCCAGTAGGTATTTTCCATCAACTAGCATGGAATCTGCTCACTGATTTTGGACTGAGAGAACAACAAAAAGCTGCCAATTTTTAAAATTGATTCTTCTCTCTGAGACATATTCATACTAATTCCCTTATCTGCTATAAATAAACACAGCTGGGCATCAATTCCTTGACCCAACCTGCACCAAGATACACAGTACATATCCAAGTATTACTTAGTGTATAACTTTTAGTTGAATAAGAGTGGCAATAAAATTGCTGCCATGCTCAAGGATAGTGCAAGAGGCTAACATGCTCCTGTGGATGCTCTCCTTGAGTATTTGAGAATATCAGTTCAATAAATGAAGGTCAGCTTTAAAGTAATTTCTCAACAGCAAGTCTAAAAAAAGAATACCACAGAAGCAACTTGAGACCTATGAGAAAGCTTTTTCCACTACAGTAAGTTCCTTTGATAGAGCAAAAAACCCATCTCTGCATAAATCACTCATTTGCAAGGCAGAGTCTGGATACATCAGTTGATAGTCTTACTTTAAATCCAGACTAAATCAGACCTCTGAAACTCTTAACCTAATCCCTGCCTTCTGTACTATGTCATCGTGGCAATTTGTTTCCAGGGTTACAGTATTTATTTACTCAAAGTAAAGCCAACGTGAACAACTGCTCTGAATTTTAGTAGGAAATAATTCCATTATCTGAGTGGCCTTGTGTCAGGGATGAATGTGGCCTATTAAGTTTTGGCACAACACTATCAGTGAGGGCAATATCTGCTCAAGTCATACTATCTTCATTTGCAGAATGACACCAAAAAAACTGTGCTTAAAACCCACCATTTCTTTATGTGCATCTTTCTTTAAATGCACGGGTAGACAGAGAAATAAAGAGCTGAACTGCAGCATAACTTGTCCAGATATTCCAAAATTCAAGGACTTCTCATGGAAAATAAAAGGATAGTCTTGGTCAGAGATCTAATGAATTCTTTGGAGAGGAAGTGCAATCATGTACTGAATGTGAGTCATGATGCACTGGATCTTTTGTAGCCAAGTAAGTGATAATCAGTCTGTACAGTTACAGTTGCATCCATCAACCATGTATCTGCAATGGCTCAGATCAGACAAGCCTGGAGAAGCCATGAAAGATCATTGCCAGTTCTATCTCTGTGACAGGTTGATTTATGAAGCTGAGAAATTGCCCTGATGTAAACAAAAACTTTTCAGACTAAGCCAGACCAGGAAAACTTCAGAAAAATGAAAGGATTGTGCAGAATTTATGCAGATGAGCCCTTCTTCTGTAGGTCTGCTTGTTTACGTAGAAAGGCTACCAACAGTAAATGGAAGAGAGTTTGTCAAAGCCAGGAAAGGTGTGTGAGACACAAAACAAAACAAAACAAAACAAGAACAAAACCAGGGTGTTCCAAATTCCCTCTTTGGGAAATTACAACGATTTTACGATACCTACATAGCCACAGACTCTAAAATGGATCCAGGAAAGAGTCCTGTGCCAAAATGTAACACTTTTCCTAGATGGAAGGAGTTTTACTTGGTAGACAATCATAGCATTAAGTCCCATCTATTCTGGCTACTTACATGTGACACAAATTACCTTCCCTTCGTTAGATGGAAGTATTAAAGCAGTATGGAATTAAACACACTATAGTGGATGATCAATCATTTAGAAGTACAGCTTTAAAACATGAACAAAGCTGAAGCAGGTTTTATAAGAGCAAGGAAGATGAGAAGATAGTTATCACTGTTGTTAGAGTAAGAAAATAGCATTCTCACCCAAATAGGAAACTCCTTCTTCTGGTGTGATTGTTCCATATTTAACCATCATCTTCACAAAATCAATCAGGGTTTTCATGATAGTTATCAAGGTCTCTTTCTCTTTTGTCTCTGTCTCTGTGTGAGGGGATGAAGCAAAATTAGTCAGAGACTTCAGGCAACTTGGGAAAACTCAGTTCTGCAAACGGTGCAAACTTCCTGCATAAAGAATGACCTACTCACTGAAAGAGAAAATGCTGTGCTGGATTAGCAAAGAGAACTTACATATAAACTCTTCCTGCAAAGCACAGCTGAATATACTTTAAAGCTTCAGGCTTTAGATCTTCTTTACAGCTTTGTGTCTTGAAGGGCTGTGCTATGGAAGGCCAATGGTATTCATTCCATTTTACAGCTAAGAACACTAAACACACTGAGATGAAGTGACCTGACAGTCCAAATTGCTGATCAGAGAGTAGAGTTTTCTACAGTTTCTTTCATCTTTCTTTTATTTGTTTGTGAACTATTTTGTAGACCAGTCTGGCTCTGTATGAGTTCAGAGATCCTTTCTCCTACAAGATCCATGGGTTCAATAATAAAAATATAAAGTGTTTCAAATGAGATTGTTACCACGCACAAGTCCATGACTCATGTACTGGGACAACGTAATATTACATGGTTGAGAGGATCATGACTTCAGGAAGTGATACAAACAATTATTTTCTATTATAAAAACCCATTCTTGCCCATGCTTACCTGCTTCTTAGCTTTTCTTTTACCACTGTGTTTACCTGAACAATACCTTTGTTTAGCTGAACAATGTTGCTGCTATTTCTGCATTAGCAGCATGAAACTGCCCCATTACACAGTTGCAAAAGCTGTTCCCACTCCCCAGGTTATCACACAAGGACCTAACAGAGCCAGGGGCACTGTCAGTCAGGGACAGCCAGAAACACACTCCCAGCCTTGGCAGAGGGCCAGCCACTCTGAGGGCTGCTGAACAGGCTTTTTATTGCTGCCTGCAATTTATCCCACAGCTGTAGGATGCAAGTGAATCCCTCTCCTCCAGCTTGATATGACCTGACAGGAGAACAGCATAAAGCAGGAGGCAAGGCAGGGATGTGCAGCCAGTGGGACCTGGCTCGATTTGCTTGATAACCTGCTAAACCCAACACACCTTTCTGCTTTGTGAGCAGAAAAAGGAGAAGAGCTAGCATGCAAAACCACCATGGGAAAATGAAAAGAACAGGAAGAATATGAAGTCTGTAGGTTGGACTTGAGCAAAATGTGCCCTCGGGTTTTTCATTTTAGCTCTCCACTCAGGTGTTTATGGGGACAGTTTGAAGCAATATTAAGGCTCCTGCAGGACAGAGAATCTACAGAATGAACACACATACACACAAAAATAAGTGTGTGTGTGTGTGTGTGGCTGCAGAGAGTGGGTGCTGACAAAGGGGCTGTGGCAAGGTGCCACAGTCCTGCCTGCAATGACTGGAAGGCAGTGATGTCCAGCACCGGAATAGGAAGAGACGTGCAGAGCTTTCACTGCAATAAACAGCAAACCTGTGGTTTGTGAAAAGGCTGGAAGGCTCAGACTCATTTACTGGTACCATCACAGCGAGAATTCTGCTGTGGCTTACTTGTACCTCTGTTGGCTTAGAAGACTCAAATGTTACTGGAATGATCTCTGGAGAAAACAGTTTGCCAGTTTTTCACCATGTCCTTACGGGAATGAAAAGAATTCAGGACTCCTGAATCACACAGCACAAGATGGGAAGGGCTGCCTAGGTCACACTCTTTGCAGTTCTGAGTGCTGTTCCTCCCAATGTTTTGCCATCAAAATTACTAATCAAATTAGTTTCTGCTATACGTATTAGAGAACATTTTCAAAGCACATGGTCTTGCAACTAGGGAAGTTGTGGGGAAGGGAAAAGAGAAAACACAGAGAATCTTAATTTTCTTTTTTCCTAAATAATTCTGTAAATACATGATGAGCTCACCTGAGTTAAGACTTTTTAATAGTGCGTAAAAATTTGGAAAGTATTGGAGGTCTTCAAAATTATCTTCAGAAGGCAGCTCATTTCTTCTTTCCAAGATATTAGATGATGACCATGTGTTATCCAGTGTATCATCAATCTCTCCATTAATGATACTATCCTGATAAGATTTGCTTGGTGTCTCCACAAAAGATATAAAAACAGATATCTATAAGCACATTGCTTTTGGTGAGAGAGTTACTAGAGCAAGAAATTGTATCACAACCTCATGCCAACATGTTCCTAATTGCAAGGTGAAGACTATACTATGTTCTCAAAGTTATTTCAATTTGACATCTGGCTTAAACTCCAAACTCACGGTTCATTTTGTGTCTAACAGAATTTCTTTAAGAACCCCTTTAGTTTCCAGATTGAACTAATTATTCCCTAAAGGAAGCAGTGTATTGGTTTACTAGTACTATTTGGCAAGGAAGATAAAATCATTAGCTAAGAAATTACCATTCTTTCCTGTTGCTTTTCCTTTGGATCACTGTCTGCTCTGCTTGCAGTGTAATCAAAGTCTTCAGACTCCTTCTCACGTTCCTTTGCTTCATTTGCAATTAGCTGTTGTAAAACCTCTGCCACTTCATCCTCCAGGGTATAGGCCTGACTCTCTGTGATCTGTTGAAATATTTGTGCAGAGTACTCATAGAATACTGTGCTTCTCCTAGATGAAACATCAATATGAAACCCGAGCTTTGCAAATAGATTGCTTTAAATATGTTTGCTTCACAAAAAGCACAACCAAATTAGGCGTGGTATCTTCACCAATGTGTGTGTATATATGTATATATATAGACATATATACATGTCTATATTTATATAAACATACCCACACATACATATATACACACATAGAAACACACACCAAATACACTGTGTGTACATAAAACCCATCCATCCACAGATACAGCCTTCAACAGGAAAATAAATCTATTTAGGGCTTAACACAATGGAGTGCAGCTTGAAAGACTGAACTGCAAGTGTGTCATACCTCCCTACATGTGTGTACATTTGTGTATATAAAGTATGTATGTTCTGCAACACATCTATGTACATCTATGTACAGTTCTGCAACACATCTATATACAGTGATATAGAAAGGGAAAAAAACAAATAGCTTTCTATGGCATCATCAAAATGTTTTGTCTTTGCTTTGTAACAGCTGCCACTTGAAAAAGAACTCTACTATGCATCTGTCCCACAGCTCCCTCTGTAATCAATGGGGTGCAGCATGCAATAGCTAACTGCAAAATCTAGTGCAGAAAACATCAGGTCAATATTTTAAGATACAAGAATCCCACATGGCCGTGGCTAAAGCCACTGAGACATCCAGAGGTCAGAGACAAATCCAGTCTTGCTAAAAATCAGTGACATAATATAACCTCAACAAACCAGCAACATGATATGTTTGCTGATGACACTAATTAGTAGGTGGATAAGAATGAGCTCAAACCTTTCCCCCTTAAATACAGAAATTAATAGTACAGAAGAATTCAGTGAAAATCGGAAGAGAAGTTAAAGTAAAAATGAGGGCAGACATGGGAGGAGTACAACCAGTGAATGTTTTCTCAATACCAGAAACATTCTGCAGTTTGGCCTATTTTGTTGCAAAGCCACCACAGGAACAGCAATGTTATTGCAGAACTAAACCAGTGTGCCCAAATGAATTCAGAAATTTGCCTAGAGCCTGAATCCCATTCATTTTCACTCAAGTCAGTATTACACACAGTGTTTGCCCAAATTGTTTTTTAAAAGAGCATTAAACCAACCCACAAAACTGCTAAATGAAGTATTAACAAGATACTTACTAGCCCCAGATTTAGAAGTTTTGAAACAATCTTGTCAAACACTCCTCTGTCATTTTCCTCATAAATTCTTGCAGCAATTTTTTGAACAATGTCTTCAGCAGTCAAAGGAGTGCCATCTAATTGATGGAGGCCATCTGGATCATCTGAAAGGATTATAGTTTAACTGTGTGCTGACTGTCCTAACTAATTTGGATTAAACATCTTGTAAAAATATCTGCCCACATGTTCTTCTCTTCAGAACAAAGCTGCATTTTTTAGACACACTAGGACTATACTTTGATACACACTTTGCAAGCCATTACATCACAATGTGTCCATTTTCCATATCTGAAAAATATCTTTCTGACCAACTTTGTCAAAAGAGCAGAGATGAATATTAGGAGCATACTCTCCTGTTTATAGAAAAAATTGTAAGAATGAGAGAGCACTGCTCCCATATTCACTTATATGTGCCTTCCTGGTATCTAATTTCATTGTATGGCCACTTAGATGAAATCAAATCATGACAAACTGCACATGATCTTCTTGTTTGAATTTCAGAAAAGAAACTTTTAATTATGTAATCATGACTTATGGCAAATAATATCATAATGACAATGGGAGAGACAACATGATGAGTAAGCTTTGATCTGTGATCAGGATACTTTGATATAATTAAAAATATCCTGAGTTAAATGCTGCTTACAACTCTCAGAGGACTCACTTAAACTACAAATCAATTAAACACTCCTGTAGCAAAGGCAAGTATTTTTTTGCCTTTGGTAATTTCTTTTAGCTTTATGATGAGGAGAATTATCTAACACTGCACATAACATTTGGAATAAATATATGTGATTTAGCTGCATGTAAAGGTGCTTCTTCCTCTCAAACCAGAATAAATAGATTTTCATTTAAAAATATGTCCCATTTTCCTTCCATCAAATCTAAATTACTAAAACACATAATACAAATTACACAGCTAGATTTTCCTCCAAGGAAGAAGGCTGAAAATCAACAGCAATTCTTTTGTACGGTGTTTCAAAACCTAATTGTAAGACAACAAGCTTCCACAACTGGAAATAATTGAAACTGCACTCCAGTAACACAAAAAGCTCATGTTTGGTGCTGAGTACAACATTCATGACAGCAGTCACTTTGCAAGAGAAGTCTAACCTAGAAGTCACTGAAAGATGATTATTGAATACCTTGGAATTTATAATCCAGCCCACTTTTAGTGGAGTCATAGTCATCCACTAGCCTGCGGTTCTTGGTGGAGTCTGCATCATCAACGGCCAGTTGCTGTTCGTACAAAGAGCTTCTAATTGACTCCCTCTCCTTTTCATTCCTCTCTCTTTCTGCTACTGATTTTAGCAGGTTCAGGTCATCAACAAAGGAATAATTCCTGAACTCTGGCTTATTTTCTGGAAAATATATCAATGCACACATAACATAAAACCTTACACCTCTTTGAATACCATTACGAATATTGCTATAAAACCAGGAAAGATATTTTACCTGTGGGAGTTGTTTTCCTATTCCTGTCTGCCTCAGCTTCAGCAATCTAATACACAAAAATAAAACAAATAAAACAAGAACAGGCAGAAGGAATAAAATGTGTGATCTCTTAATTTATCAATACCAGCAGAATCCTTAGTGTCTGGTTTTCACTCAATATTATTAAGAAGTTTGCCTGAATAAGTAGAACAGAACTGAGCACTTGGCACTTTCTGTCAGTACCCCCCATCTCTGATCAGAATCACACACTACAAGAAGCTGCAACAAACTTCCCATTTTAAGATAAATGCCAGTTACATTTTCCTTCTTCATTCCAAGCTCATGCTATATTCCCACAGGATGTCAATACAAAGGGGTGGCACACCTGTGAGCTGTTGGAGCTAACAACCTGTTTTTGGAATGCTGGACAGGGAAACTCCATATTCCAGTTTTTAAAAATTATTGAAACTATATTTTGTATTCAACACCATAAATAATCACTTTACTGACATATCTACTTTTAACTCAGGGATATTCAGGGATTCGGTACTTGAAAGGCTCAAAATTCTATGGGAATACCATAACAAAAAAACCATTGTAAATATTTTTTCTTTCACTCACCTGTTCCTCCAAAGGTCTTTCTACACTTAATTGTCTGTTGTGTATAGCTTTATCTAGAATAAACACACACACATATATACTCAGTTATATGGTACATGCGACTACAAAAGGCACATTTTTTCTTAATTCATAGTTTTCTCCCATAAAAAACAGTGTCTTAAATAGGATGCCAACTGCTGGTTCTTGAAAAAAAAAAAAATCAGTGTTCCTAGAAGAATGAGAACACAATTAAAAAGTCAAACATTTAAATAAACTATGATTGGGGCAGAGGGAGAAGTTCTGCAGAAGATGTAATAGAAATAGAGATACAGACTCATCAACCTCTTTCTGATGAGAAAACTCACAAATTGGAGAAAAATGCTGGAAGAGATCGACTAAAATAGCAATAATCGGATTGGCACAACCAAGAGATTAAAAATCTCTTCCATCCAGAATACCGGGGGAGACAGGGAGCAAGAAAGACTCGTGCAAACGCCGCAGTAGAACGGATGAAAACACTGCTTGGAGAACACCGAAAAAATTCAGAGCTTTTCCCTCTACCAGCACCTCTCCCTTCACTTTAATATCAGATTGCAACTTCAGCGATCAGTGCCGGGAATTTTGTCGCTTTGGGACCTCATCGCTTTTCGCCGAGTGGAAGGAAAGTTTTCTCTCCCCTCCCTCTCCACCCCGCGGAACTTTCCGCACCCGCAGACCCGCGGAGCGGGCTCTGAGGGGCAGGCGCTTACCTTTGCCCGCGGGTCTGGGGAAGCCGTGAGCGCGGCTCGCCAGCAGCGACAGCACCTGCACCGCGACCGCCAGCCGGAGGAACATCGTGCGGGGGATCGAGGCCCTCGGCGGGGCCCCGCGGGAGCCGCTCGGGCGCTGTCCGGCCCGCGGTGCTGAAGCTCGGGGAAGGCGCTGCCCGGGGCTCGGCCCCGCGTCCCCGCGCCCGCAGAAATGGTCGAGCCCGGCCCCGCCGCCGGCCCCGGGCGCGGGGAGGAGACGGGGGCGGGCCGGGCGCGGAGCATGCGCGGCTCCCGCGGCCCTCAGCTCCTGCCCGGCGCCGGGGAGGGCGGCCGGGGGGCTGTGGGGCACCCGGGGGGCTGTGGGGCACCCGGGGGGCTGTGGGGCACTCGGGGGGTGCGCGGAGAGGGGCGGGCAGGGCTCCGGGAACGGGCTGCGGCCACGGGCTGCGGCCACCCCCGCCCGGCGCGACCACCCCCGGCAGCGCCATCAGCCTCCGAGGGCTGCGCCGCACCCGCGCTTGGAGCTGGAGAGGTGGAATTTGTCCCCTCAGGGGAGGCCCGTGAATCACTTCCACCTATTTCATCCCTTTCCAGCAAAGGCACCGTCATCAATCTTCATCATCATCTTCTTTTCACTACAAAGAGAGGACGTCACAAGTTTAATCATCGCACGTCTCACTCTTTTAAAATTTAGGGTTAAAAAAAGGCAGTAGGGCAAATGACGATAAGCATCATTAAAAGACAATAATTCTCAACATTTTCAATATTAAAGTTTAGCCCTTGCGGGCACAGAGCACCAGCAAATCCGTAGGGATCGGGGGAAGACATTTTTGCCGTTTCACGGCAGAACAAAGGATCGCAGCGGTAGCTCTTCAGAACTACAGGGTCTGCTTCCAAAATAAATCCCGGTGGTTTTTCTTCAGAAAAGACCTCATAGTTTTGTAGTCACAAGTGCATGCATGCAGTGGGCAGATGAAAACACTTTAATATTAGAAATCTCAGTGCTTGCTAACTGTCAAAAAAATGGCTAAACACTGTTTGAAGAGATGGAAAAGATCAGAGCTTTCACAACTGAAAGCCAGGAACACAGTGGAACTGTTCAATCCCTTATCAATATATAATATTACTGTAGTATAAGCTGTGGAGAACACACAAAAAAAGTAGGAGAATGATAATTAACTGGACCACAAGCACTAAAAAAATTGCATTTTTTTCCCCCGTTAGCAACCACTATTTCATAGTCAAGCCTTTGCATATAATTTAGATGAAATAGTGCTCTACCTTACATCAGACTCACTTCTATAAATTAGTCTTCCACAGATCCAGAGCAATGAAAATAACTCTCAGAAATGTACTGGTAACCCCAGAATCCTTACCTATCATTAGGCTTCTATTCTTGGAGCTGTACCAGGGTTCGGAATTACAGGGTATTTTGGATAAAAACATTTCAAGCAGTGTGTTGTACATAAGAAAAAAATAGCTTGCTTGGTGACTTACAAGGAAAACTATTATACTAACCAGAACCTTCCCTCACCTTAGAAGCACAGAAGATGGGCAGCTTCTACAAGGAAGCATAGGGTAACCTTTTCCCCTGCCATCTTTAGCAGATGTGTATGTACAGCAACAAGAATTCAAAACTGCAGGATGTTGCTGATACAGACAAATGAAAAGATCAATTCTTATTTCCATGTGGCTTTATATTCTATCCCATTTTGGTATTGATTCAGTGGTTCATTGCCTGTTCAATGTTATCAGTGTTACAAAAATGTGTACTTTCTCTCCATTTACCCTTCCTGGTATTTACTTCTATTCCACTCAAACACTTCCTACGATGCATTGTAAATGCACATCCATTGCTAAGACTCTGCCCATTTAGTCATTTGGACAAAAGTTCTGTACAATACAAAAGCAATAAGTGTATTTTAACCTTGCTGGAATCAAGGTAGCTGTAAAGCAGGGAGATCAGAAAAGGAACTCTCATTGGATACAACAGCACAAAGAAGGTGCAGGTCAAAAATACACCTGTTTATGTGATATGTCTCCATATGGCTTTTTGTGTAATGACACATCTTATTGTGTTCAAATGTGTTTGTTTTACAGGATATACTTCTGTTTATGTGATAAACGTTTCTATTTCTGTGAAATCTTTTCCATACTATTTCCCAGATCCATAGTTTATTTCCTTAGCACTAAATCAGCTCTTGCTTTGCCAAGCCTCTCTAACAAGGAGTGATGCAGAAGGACTCTGTAGGGGCCTGGACAGATGGTGGGGAGAGAAAAGAATTGGAAACCAGCAACACCATCACTAAAACCTTGGACATGACCCCTTTCCCTGCTCATGGGGAACACACAGAGGCAACGCACTCACAGACACAGCTGTGAGCACAGAGCACACCTGCCCTGCCCCGCTCTGCTTTGGCACTCTGAGCTCCTCACTCCCGGTGAGCTTGTGTGACATGTGACAGATAACACATAATCTCTGCTAATTATGACAAAATAGGTTTAATCATCAGAGAAAAAAGATGGGTAAAAGTGCTGTCTTTGTTTCTCGTTACATCTGTTTTCATTTGGCATCATTTATATCATCTACTACTACACACTCCTCTGCCCAGCACAGAGACAACACGGTGCAGAGCATAAGCTTTTCTATTTTGGATTCTATTTTGGCTCATACACAATCAACCCAATTTTCTATTCTAGAACTATTTATTTGCAGTGATGATTCATGAGCCAGAAAGAATACCACTTGCCTATCAGATGCCAAGGAGAACTTGCAGGAATGACAATTAGAATGTTTCTTACTGTGGTGAGAGCAGTTGATATCAAGCCTAGAGAAATAACTGAAATTCAGCCTTTCAGTGCTATTTTTGCAGTTGTTTTATAACCACACTTCAAAGTATTTCATCTAGCTGATGAAAACAGTAGGCAGATGAAAGCAGGAAAAAAACAAACAAGCCAACAACCTACCTTGCCAAGTTTATGCCTATGTGGTAGATATTCCTTACTTTTGTGGATTTTCATTTTCTACCTTGTCTCAGTTTATCTCCTTTTATGTAAATTATATACTAAATAATCTAGTGCTTAAAAGGAAAAAAATGTTGGAAAGTTTACTGGTGATCTTTATGCAAGGCATTAGGCATATCTATAATCATCTGACAATAAGTCATGTATTTTGCACGTATGTGTGCACTATGAATAGTCCTCTTGATTTCAATGCACTCATCAACAGCATGAGAAATTAACCACATACAAGCCTGAGGGTTTGTGCTCTACAAGTCATTTTACATGCAGCATTTATTTCTACAACACTTAAGGCAAAGAGAAGGACTTAATGACCCTAGAATCGATAAAAATAATGAAAAAAGGAAACACCAACTTCTCACAATTTTAAACCTACTGACTTCAGTTTGTTCCACTTTGGCTTTTTTTCTGATAATAAACCAATTTACAATTCTGATTGTCAGCATGATTTTCTGGCCAGACGTATGTTGGATATGGAGGGATACTTTTTCCTTGGAAACACATAACTCAGAAGGGATTACTTCAGTTTCTTCCCCACCTTCTCTAGAAAAAAAAACAACCCACCTTTGAACTGAAACACAAACCAGAAAATGTCAACTAATTTTGTTTCAGAAAAGTATATGTGACTGGAAAAGGCTCATGTGGGTTGCTAAAATGGAATTAAGCATGCAAAACTCTATAGATACAGTGTTATTTTAGTCTGATGTCTTTGGTGGGACGGCTGATGCACATATTTAAGTGGCACTATGCTTTCCCCTTGTTCACAAGAAAAACAGTGAGAGAAAAAAACAATTCTGTTAGAAAATACAGCAGAGAGTATCTGAATATATCTTTTTGCAACAGGCTGAATATTTCATTACACTTATTTGGAAAGGCATATCCCAACAGATCGGGTAAACATGAATGGGTTAGAGGCACTTTTTCCCTTGTTGTGTGAAGTATCTATAAAAGTTATTGGTCATCCTTCTTTCGCAGTTCATTTCCTTGTTTTGCCAGTGAATGCCCAGTTCCATCCCAGCCACAGTCCTGCAGCAGCTACAGACCAGAGGGCACGTCAGTGTGTCAGAGCAGAGCTGGGATGTGACCGTGTCTGACAAAGAAAGGAGGAGCTTTTTCTATTAATTGAAATCACTTCTCTGGGTACCAAACGACCAAAAGTAACAAGGCTTCTGTTCATTTAGCATCAGCAACTTCTCCTGTTCAGCTACGGTGCCATAAAACAAACCTTCATTTGAAAGGCACAGCATAACAGAATGGCAAAAATGGTATCTAGAGAGCCAGAAACCCCTGTAATCTTGAACATTACTGTTTGTAGGTAAGAGATCCTTTGTTTCACTTGCAAGAGCAGCAAATGCAGTGGCGGTTCCCAGGAGCTCCCTGGTGAAAACCTTCCCAAGAGGCCAAACCGCAGGCGGGGGAGCGGGAATCCCCTCAGGAACAGCCCACTGGGAGCCTCTCAGGCAAGACCGACTTCTCAGTGTTCCCACCCTCACTTTAAGAATAATACTTGTCCTGTCTGGGAGGTTTACGTTGTACACTAGGAATAATTTCTTTCCCAAATCTTCGTTCGCGAAGCCTAGCCATGAGGAATAATTCCTTCACACAGAGGGTGATTAGATATTGGAACGGGATGCTCAGGGAAGTGGTGGAGCCACCGTCCCTGGAAGGGTTTAAGAAAAGACTGGATGTGGCACTTGGTGTCTAATTGACACGGTGGTGTTCGGTCATAGATTGGACTCGACGATCTCAGAGGCCTTTTCCGCGCTCACTGATTCTGTGATAAGCTGCTACATTCTGCTCTTTCGAAACCCGCCCTCAAATGCCTTTGTTCCGCGATGCTGCCAGCAGCAGCCCCCGCGGCGATGGCTCCGTGCCGGCACACCCGGCGGTGCCCCTGAAGGCCGCTCCGAATGCGGGGCTCCAGCTCCACCTCCCGGCCCGGCCCGGGGCGGTGGGTCCGGCATGAGCGACGTGGTGGAGCGGACTCTGAGCGCCCTGCCCGGGCTGCTGGGGCAGCACGACCCCGGCACGGGCCCGGGCGGTGCCGGCGGCCCCGCCAGGGTGTCGGCCACCTCCCGGCTCGGCAGCCTCATCCGGAGCATCACGGCGCTCACCTCCAAGCACGTACGGGCTGCGGGGGCCGGGCTCCGCTCCCTGCCCGGGGAAGCCGCCGCGGGGCTGGGCTGGGGGCCCTGGGCACGGTGTCTCTTCTCGACCTGGGTCTGGCTGAGCTCGGGGCCCCACGATGAGTCTTTGCCGTGCCGCGTTGTGCTTGCTCTGGGCAGGCACGGCCACACTGCTGTGCTTGAGCAGCCCCTGAGCGAGGCACCCGCTGCTTTCGGAAGAGTGTGGACACTTAAATTAACTCATCACCTTATGTTCTTGTTACGTATTTTGCCTACGAAATCTATGCGAGATTTGATCTCTCTCTCTTCTAGGAAGAAGAAAAATTGATCCAGCAGGAACTAACCAGTTTGAAAGCAACAGTTTCAGCCCCCACCACAACACTTGTAAGTTCTGTTAGTGGTTATTACAGGCTGTGGGAACAGCACACCAAAGGTGAAGTACAGCAGTGTTCTCACTCTTTTTTCGAGATGGATGTGCAGGTTATCTGCATTATAGATCTTTGATCATCAGCATTAAAAGATACCAATATGTGTGGTTTTGCAGCACATTTAGAATAGTGATAACACTGTGATTTTGTTTGATGTGAATAAACTGTAATAGTATGGCACTATCTCTCATTCTGTAGTTTCTGAAACAAAGCAGATGAACTGCTTCCATCAAATCATGTTCTTTGCAGGCTTACATTGTTCATATAATTAGTTTGTGCTCTGTAAGAAGCTGTGCTTTGTTGTATGCACTGTTATCGCGTCTGAGTTGCGGGAGATGATATATTCTGATTTGAGTTAGTTAATGCTTGTCTCAGTCCCATACAGGAGACTTTTTTTAGGGGAAAAAAATCGCCTTTTATCTATGCATAGTGAGAAGCCATCCTGGGTCAGGGTAGCAATTGGTGAAAAATAATTTGTGTTAACAGTGTGAATCATCTCAACGCTTCTGGTTATTCATATTCTTTATGTTGGTCATAGTTAATGTACTGTTGATCACATGCATGCTAATCAAAATAAGAATTTTTTAAGGGTCATATATGGGAAGTTCTGCCTTTATAGCAGAAATTAATATTGATTTTTCAGAAGAGGTTCATAGCAAAGAAAAATCACAAATACCCTGATTTTAGAAAACATATGTGAATGGAGATATGTTTCTGTCAGATACAGTTCTCTGCTTCATTAGAGCAGTGAAGAAGAGTATAAAACATGGCTGACTTAAAATTCTCAATAATTTATATTTGCTATTTCAGAAACTGATGAAAGAATGTATGGTGAGACTCATCTACTGTGAAATGCTGGGGTACGAGTCTTCCTTTGGATATATCCATGCAATCAAGCTTGCACAGCAAGGAAATCTTTTGGAGAAGAGAGTTGGTATGTGCATGGAGCTGTAACCTTAATAATGTTCTCAAATGCTATTTTTGAAGTTTCTCAGGATTTATAATCCATCTAAAAATACAACTTACTTAAAATGTTCCTCTGCTTTCTTGATCTTGTTTCATGGTCTCTTAATCTTTGAAATTAGCTGAATCCTTAGTTTGTGTGATGCTTTGAATGTGCTTGAAGCACAGAAGGCAGGGGAAATGAATTTTATTTTAAATCATCACAATTTCATTGTGTTGAATTGCGGCACCAGTAAACAAATAATTTAAGAGAACGTTTGTTAAACACATCAAGCAGAAAATTAATTTCTCTCAAGCTCTGGGTTTTTTTTTTAAGTACTATGGTACAAGATTAGATAAAGATGGTGATGTCGGACACCTGTCAGGCACATTTTCTATTTTGGTGCTTGTAGGATTATTTTTTTATTATTGTTTTTTTTTTACTTTGGAAACAGTTGTCGGGAATGAAGCAAATAGAGAGATCCTTACAGCATAGGGCAGAAGTTCCTGAGGAAATCTGAAAGTTTAGTTCAGATTTCTTTGAAATTTCATGCCATTGGGATTTCCTTGCCTGCCAGTGTGGCTATTACCTTGTTTCCAGTAGATTTAGTTTGAGGGATCTTTCAGCCTGTCTCACTGGAGAATTTCCTTGCAGTTGCTGATTCAGCTGCCTAGTGAAGACATTTCTTCTTGTTTGCAGAGAAAGTGGTTTAACTCCAAGCAATACCATGTCTGCATAGACAGAAGGAAGGCAATGTCTTGCGGGATATGCTTGTTTGATATCCTTTGTTTGAATTTCATCTGGATCATCTACCCAAGTATTGGAGTTTCTGAGAGAATAGAAGTGATGAATTAAAGCTTTCCCCTGAATAGTGAAAGCCAGTGTACAGATGCCCTGGTAGGGATTGAGAAATTTTGTCTTCACCAAACTTGGGAGGGCAGGTTGTCAGCTGTTTTGAAGAAAACTTCTCTAAGTGTCAAGATCCAATATGCCTTGTTATTAATAGGTTTGAGACCTTTCCATACTAGAGCTCTTTTGGAGAAGGCTTTGGTGAAGTAGCATTTTTATTTTCTATGTAGGTGGCTTTAGAATTCTCCAGACAAAAAGTGCCCTTCAGCTTTGATCTGGTAAAAGGATGTTACCAAGAGTGTGTAGGGGGATGCTGGTTTCTTTTTTGTTGTTGTTCTGCATTTATATGTGATATAGAGGATGATGTTGTCAGTTCTTGGTGCAATATACCAAAGTTTTTGTTGAGGAATTGTTATCAGTTGAATTGGTCAAGGGATTATTTGTTTACCCAATGTGAGCCTCCATTCATGAGAGTGAACTCTGTTTTTGTGTGTGTGCTAAGCTGATCACAGCCCTGGGTTCATAAGCAGGTAGGTCAATTTGATAGCCCAGACAATGCAGTGATTTATATCAAAGTTGTTAATTTTGATCCCTAAACCCTGAATGAACTAAGAATTCTATAAGATCTGTCTTTGTAGTACAGCTATTACTGTGAGTTATGGCACACTCTCCCTACCCCTCACTTAAGTCCCTTAGTTTAAAAGGAAAAGGGGTCTTGAAGAAAAAGCTTTTTAGCAAGTTTCTCTTCTGGGGTTACAGAATGATTTCTTCCTTGTTAAGAAATAACAAGGGAATTTTTGGCATAGGATGGTGGATTTACTCTTCTGTATTCCAATTTGAAAATCTGTTTGAAAAGAAATTTTATTATTTGGAAAAAAAAAGAGAAACATGGCAGTGCACTTTTTGTGTAGTCTAAAAGTAAAACACTCTGCTCTGTGCAGAGAAGATACTGGTTTTCCAGGAAGTGATTTCTCATGGTGATCTTGACTGCTCTTTAGCTATAACATTGTCATTATGTTTCTTACTTTTCACAACTTAGGAAGTCTTAGCTGTTAGTTGTTGAGCTTTACTGCAACTTGAATATAACTGGTTTACCCGGAAATTAAAAAAAGTCTTGATATTTAAAAAATGAGCAACTGTCATCCAACTGGGTTTTTTTTGTTGGGTTTTCATAATTGTTCAACTCTTGTATTACAGACAATCTTAAGTTTTCTATATTCAATTTGCTTATTATTTGAAAATAGTAATGGAGGCTGCTTTCTTTTATAGGCTACTTGGCAGTTTCTCTATTTCTACATGAAAATCATGAACTGCTGCTTCTACTTGTGAACACAGTTGTGAAGGTACAGTGTTTTTGGAGGTAAAAAAAGAAGGAAAATCTTAAAGGCACAGGACAGGCTGTTCCCATGTGCCAAGAGATGAGCTGGTAGGGAAGAAGATCTGGTTGAACAGAGGCCTTATCTGGAACTGAGGGGAAAAAAAGGAGAGTTTACATCTTTGGAAGAAGGGGAGGACTACATAGTGAGAGAGGGTGAGGAAAAGGCTGAGGTACTTAAAGCCTTGTTTGCTTCAGTCTCTGTTAGTAAGACCAGTTCTCTGGGTACCCAGTCCCTGAGCTGGAGGACAGGAGCAGAATGAATCCAAGGGGAAATGGTCAGGAAGCTGTTACACCCCTGAGACACACACACGTCTGTGGGACTGGGTGGGATCCACCCAGGGGACTGGAGGAGCTGGTGCAGGTACTCTAGAGCACAACTGTGATGAGGGGGCTCAGCCTGGAGAAAAGGAGGCTCAGGGGGGTTGGTCTCTTCTCCCACGTAATAAACAACAGGGTGAGGAAATGATGGCAAGTTGCACCGGGAAGATTTAGATTGGATGTTAGGAAAAACTTCTTCACTGAAAGGGTTGTCAAACATGGGAACAGGCTGCCCAGGGCAGTGATAGAGTGACCATCCCTGAAGGGATTTGAAAGACATGTAGATGTGGCCCTAAGGACATGGTGGACTTGGCAGTGCAGAGTTGAAGGTTGGACTTGATGATCTTAAAGGTCTTTTCCAACCTAAACAATTCGAGGTTCTGTAAATTGAACCAATTCTTCCTGTTTTGTTGTACAATATCTAAGTTATGTACTAATTAGTTATATCTTCCTCTCTTAAGTTGCTGTTGCTTTGGTTAGCAATGAAAACTTGAAATGGCTTTTCCTGTATTTTTAATTTAATCTTGGCATTCCTGCTGTCGAAGCCATGTTTTAATTTTTTTTTTGAAGGAGGTGTGCTATAAACTTGCCTTTATAAAATGTACCAACTATGTACCTCAACTCCAGGAGGAGCCATGGATGCATACTGCAATGTCAGCTTTTGCTTTTAGGTGATGGCAAGTACCTCTTGCCTTCTTTGAGTTCTTATGATAACTTTGACAGAAAATGGAAACATGCTTTGGAGTTTGACACTGAAAATCTATTACCTAATAGTATTTCATAGATGTTGTCTTCTGCATTACTTTCTCTTACATGGAGCAGTTAAGACTTATATTACAAACTCTTCTGTGTAATGATTACTTTTATATTGCAGTAGGCCAAAGTCAGATAAATTATAGATTGAAAGTGATGCTCATTTTGTTGCTGTGATTGAAAACTGTTTTATAATACTTAAAACTATGACTTGAAACTCCTAAGTGTGTAGAAAAAGGTGAAAAATGAGAGTCCACAAAGAACTAAACCAAAATGAGGACTAAAACCTATCTGGGGCAAATTGACAGAGCAAGTTATATCAACTGGAGATCTTACACATTTAATTTGTTTTGAAAAATAATTCTAGTCTTACTTTTCCTTAATTCATCCATCCTTTTTTGGTTTAAGGTTACAGTGAGCTCTATCTACTGGTTTTAATTGTATTTGGAACAGATTTAGTTTTTATTCTTTCTTTAGTAGAATGCTACATGTAATTTGCATTTGCTTCTTAGGGAGTAGGTAGTATTTTAGTGTACAAATACATAATTGGCAGTATTATTGAGCTTGCTTGTTTCTTTTTTTAATTCTTTTGGCTCAGTCAAAGGCACTAGAGAGAATACTGTTGAATTCTGTGAGAGTGACTCATCCCCCTGATCCAGCTGGGGGCTCAATATATTTTTGCAATCATCCAACTATCTGAGTAAACAAAAATTGATTGTAGCTCCATGTGTTAATCCTACATTCATATTTTAAATGTACACGTCTCTATAACACCAGTGTGAGGAGATGCCTGTTCCTTCTTGCTGTATAAGAGAAGGAGAGAACCTGATGAGCTCAGTGGGAGGTGACACATCTCAAACATGAGCAGACAGCAGGATGCTGGCAGTGACTGGGCTGTGTAGGTGGGCTAGATCCAACCTGCTTGGGAAAGATTTGGGGTATGTCTGTGTGGAATTTAAAAGTCTAAGTAAAAAATTACTGTCTTATTTCAGGACTTACAGAGCACTAATCTAGTAGAGGTCTGCATGGCATTAACTGTTGTCAGCCAGATCTTTCCACGGGAAATGATTCCAGCTGTTCTTCCCCTAATAGAAGACAAGCTCCAGCACTCCAAGTATGTATTCATTTACAGAATTTCAAATGGCCTTGTGTGGTTGAATAACTTAATTTTGTAGGTAGTTTTAGTAAACTGGTGTGTCTTTTCTAAATTGGTCTTTCTAATCATTACCTTTGGAAATTGTTCCTCCTGGTTTTTTGTCTTGGATTATAATCTCGTTTATTTGCAGCCTTGACTGAGTACTGGATGGGTATTAATTTTTTTCGTAGCCAGTCTTCATAGGTAAATGTAATTGAATTTATTTCCTGGAGTCCTTTTAATGAACAGGGATGAAGAAGTGTTTGTAGAGTAGGTGGAGAAGCAGATTAGGATCCTTGAACTTTACTGATACTTTTTCTTAATAAAGCTCTTTATAGAAACTTTGATAAAAGTATATCTACAGATATGAATACCCTTGGTTCAGTTGTTTGAATCTTAGTTAATAGTATCCCATACACAGAGGATAATACTGTAATTGTTTTATTGATTAGAAAGAGAACTGAATTAGAATGAACTCAGTAACTTCTAGACACGTATTTTTTGGAGCTGGACATACCACCACAAAAGATTAGTCATGGCCTATTTTATTGTTTTTTTGCTGGCCATTCTTTTGAATAATCAATCTGACATCAAGCCCTACTAGGCTTTAAAGTTTGCTTTGTCACTTCCTCACTTAGGTAGTATTTGCAAAGTCATTTGTTACCAAATATGTAAAACACAGGTTTTCATCTCTCTGATTTTACAGTGCTCTAGAAATAAAAAGCGCAAATTGTTTTGTGAAGGACTTAAAATGCACAAGCAGCTTCATTTTGCCAAGTGTAAATCTCATTTCAGGGAAATTATCCGAAGAAAAGCTGTTCAGGCTTTATATAAATTCTATCTCATCGCTCCTAACCAAGTTCAGCACATCCACGATAAGTTCCGGAAAGCCTTATGTGACAGGGATGCTGGAGTCATGGCTGCTTCTCTGCATATTTATCTTCAAATGATTAAGGTAGGCAAAGAATTGGAAACACAACTGAACTTGGGAGATATTTTTCTATGTTTTCATTTTAAATCCGCAGCGTGCCATACGGAAGTTTTGCAGAAAAAACTTACTTGTAATCATTAGAAAAGGTAATTTGTGTGATCATGGGCCTCTGTGTTATGTTTGTTTATGCCAGCTCTCCATTTAGCTTGGCAGATCCACTTTTTGCATGATCTGAATGCTCAGCATCATTGGATCCTTGCCTGGAGGATCTCAGTTCTACAGTGTGTTTAAGGGTTTGATGGAATTTGCTTGTGAATGTGTTACATCTGCTCCCTTTCCAAATGTGTGAGAAAAGAGCATAGGTTTAAAGTGAAGAGCTTATGGGTGTTGGGGAATGAGACTAGAAGTTTAATTTAAAGTAATGGAACCATCAGCATAGATATTTTGATCCTACACAAGTTTTTGATTGTTTTTAATTTTGAGTTGCTGCATCAAACTGTTTGAATTGTGTTTGTTTTTCATTATATAGGAAAACTCATCTGGATACAAGGACTTGACTGGGAGTTTTGTAACCATCCTAAAGCAGGTAGTGGGAGGAAAGCTCTCTTCTGACTTCAACTATCACAGTGTGCCAGCACCATGGTTACAAATTCAGCTTTTAAGAATATTGGGGCTGTTAGGAAAAGATGATCCAAGGTAACCAAATCTTTCTCTGTAATTAATAATTTGAAGGTACAAAGAGTACAGTCACAGCCTGAACCTCACAGACAGCTTGGGTTTGCTTGGTTGGTAATTTTTAGGAGGATTTCAGTGTCGAAGTTCTTATACATTTGTTATTAATCAAGACTAGTGAGCAGACTAGTTCTGCAAAATTTGTTTCTTAGCTTCTGGATTGGCTAAACAATTGTGGAATATGCTTAAAATATATATTTTGCTGGGACTTCTATTACAAGGCTACCAAATAACTGTATGAAAATCCAGAGTAAAGCTATTTTACAAGTGCTGCCATTTTGTGAGGATGTAGTCGTCTGTGATCCTTTTCCTGTTGATCATTTTATTTATACCAACAGTAAGAGAAGTGTTTTCATTCTTGTGATATGGTAGATGTTTCTTTTGAAAGCTGCAAATATCTTGTTAAATGCCATTTAGGCTCATGTTATAGAGCTCCTCTGTGTAAAAGTGAATTTGTGGATATGAATAATGTTCCAATTTCTATACTAGTCTTTGAGCTTTGAGTGGCAAAAAAAGACCACATGCTTATTAGTGCTGCAATTAATGTTAAATATTTTTTCTTAAACAGGACAAGTGAATTGATGTATGATGTTCTAGATGAATCTTTAAGAAGAGCAGAGATAAATCATAACATTACATATGGTGGGTGAGGTTATTTTGTGTAACTATCAGTCTTTGAAAAGATTGAAAATTGTGAGTAGTTGATTGTGCCAAAACACTTACTTAGTGCTTGAGAAATATCTAATTATTTTCTTAATAATATTCTTGAATGTCCAACTAGTAAATAGTAGAACAAGTGATTAAGTGTTCTTTAAAACCATTTGATCCGGACAAAAGAAAAATGTGGTTATGAGTGATTACTCTTTCTTATATGAAGTAATTGATTGTTGCATGTTCTTCTTTCTGTTGAGTTATTCATGTGCTACTCTTCCTCAGATTTAGTTTTTTAACACTTTAAAAGAAGGGGTTGTCTACTGGACAGTTCAGTTAGTGACTGAATTACAAGAAAAACGGAAAATTACATCATGATTTTAAGCCCTAATTAACTTGGGAGACTAACTTGTTCTGAATCTTTGCCCAGATTGTTGCCACAAAGGATTAATTACTTTTTGTGTGTTGTTCAGTTTACTTCTAGATTTTTCTCATACAACTCTACAAAGGTTTTTTTTGTTTGTGTTTTGATTTTGGCGTGTTTTTTTTTTTTTTTTTAACAAGGCTGTTCTTGGGATGATTTTACTGTTGTTAGAATCTAAGACATCATATGAATTATCAAAAAATATTTTGTCTCAAATCCTTAAGAGTTGCCCATTGGCTTTCTGAAGACTGTTCCAGTCCAGTGCTTTGAGCAACTATAGGAGACTTCAAGGCTGGAAGAACTTTAAGGACAGAAAGTTGTATGGACAGTGGCAAGGGCTAATAAAAATATGTATATAGTAAAAGAGATAGGCTTTCATCTTGTTTTTCCTTATGTCAGTGGGTACTCTGTGATTCAATTCAGTGGGGGTGGGACAGCACTGCAGTTCCTTGAGACAGTCACTGAGCTTGTTTGTTAAAAAATTTTGAATTATAGAAGTATTTAATACACACTAATAATGTGTCTTCCCTCCCTTGCAGCCATCTTATTTGAATGTGTCCAAACAATTTATACAATTTATCCCAAAACTGAACTACTTGAAAAAGCTGCCAAGTGCATTGGAAAATTTGTTTTGTCACCCAAAATTAATTTGAAGTACTTAGGTAAGGCTGCCTGATTTCATTATGCTGCTTTGAATGTGGCCATAGTTGTACACATTGTCTTAAATCACTTGCAATCACATTCTAGGTTTAAAGGCTCTGACCTATGTTATCCAGCAGGATCCTAATCTGGCCCTTCAGCACCAGATGACAATAATTGAATGTCTGGACCATCCAGATCCCATTATTAAAAGGGAGGTGAGTGAATTTCCAAATGTCAGAAATTAGGTTAATTTTTAACATGGGTGATAGTTTTTCTGAAATTAGTAGTGTAAAAGGGATATTATTTTTCAGTTGTTGTGAGAGAGTAGTTAAAACAATATTAATGTGACAAGCTGTGTAGGTAATCAGTGTATTTCATTTAAAACTTGGTAAATAAAGATAGTTACTCAATTTGGCATCATACTAATTTTGCTGTTTGCCTGCTTCCTTTTTTGTGTCATCAGAACCAATTGATTTTTTTTGCTTTCTCTTGCAGACTTTAGAGCTTCTCTATAGGATTACAAATGGACAGAATGTCATTGTCATAGTTCAAAAGATGCTTGACTACTTAAAAGAAAGTAAAGAAGAATATGCTATCATCAACCTAGTTGCCAAAGTAGCAGAACTAGCTGAGAAATATCCTTTTATTTTTCTGAACTAGCTGAGAAATATCCTTTTATTTTTCTGAACTAGCTGAGAAATACCCTTTTATTTTTCTGAAACTTTGAAGTCAGAGCTCAGGCATATGTAACATTTATACCTTTCAAAGCATCTTTCATGATCTTTTGAAACAGGAAGTGTTACAGCTGTGCTTTCCACTATTTAAAAAAAAAAGTATACAAAAGACAACACATACAAACATGACTGCTGTGTTACTTGTATTTCACTGAGAGGAAGTAATGGCACTCAAAATATTTTATTTTGGAGTTTAGCATTAAAACCTTGTGTTTTTAAATTCAAATTAGGAAGTCTTACACTATTACAGGAGGGAGTGCTATTCTGTAATTGTGGAAATGATCTTCTGTCAGAGAACTAACTCTTCATTGGTGTATGGATTTGAAGAATAACACACTTTGATAGAAATAAGGAAAAGATTCTTAACAATGCCAAAAAGGTGGAAGTGCTGGCTAGGGATTTGGCACGTTAGACCTGCCATTGCATGATTTTCTGTGTGTATTTCTGTCTGATGATTTGAGTTGTAAGTGCTTTTTAACAGAAAGCTACCTTACCATCCTATTTGTACACTGCTTGGAACAGAGAAGTGTACAAAAAAAAAAGCTGTGTTGTCCTGCTGTATGCAAAAATAAGGCAATATCAATGTTTCTATACTGTTGAAAATGTCTATTCAGTAACTGCATTTTCAGGACTTGATTGAGGGAAGGCAGAAGCTAACTTTCAAAGTTAGCAAAGGCTGATCAAATTTTAAATATATTAAAAAACTTCTAAATGTGTTTAAAAAGCCAGTAATTCTTTCTGTGGAGTGCTTCAAAATGTTCATTATTTTCATAAAATCTGTAAGTCAACAGCAAAGCACTGCTGAAAATAACAGCTTTTCTATCATTGATCAAGTGATGTTGGGTAAACAAACTCAAAAGATCATGCTGGAAGCCCAGCACGGAACAAGTGTGAGCTTAAAATGGAGTAGTTTACATATGTGAACATGTCTGTTCCTACTGTGTGAGGTCTACTTGACAACTTTTTCAACAGGGCAGCAACTTAACACTTCTCTACCTGACTACCAGTTTCCATGAAATTTATGGGAAATGCTTTCTAAAAGATGCAGGGATATTTTCTCTTCAGTTAGATTGAGCTGGCGTTTGACCATCAGATCTCCAGCTTACTGGGGAGATTAAGATGAATGTTCCTTAGGAAACACACAAGTAAGAAACATAAAGTTGTGCCTTAGCACTTCATTCCTTAACCTCTGGACACGTATGCTCCTAACAACGAGTGGTTCATCCAGACCATGAATGCTGTGTTTTCAGTTGGAGGTGATGTGGTGCATCCTGATATCCCAAACAACTTTCTGAGGCTGTTGGCTGAAGGTGAGCAACTCCCTGAGTGCTCTGAAGAATCAGACATGTTCCTTGATAATCTGGTTTTTTTTTTCTTAAAATGTACTTCAAAATATTTGGTAGGATGTGTTATTTGTGTTTCACGGAAATTAGATATTGTTTTCTGTCTAGGATTTGATGATGGAAAGGAGGATCATCAGCTACGGATGTATGCAGTGCAGTCTTATTTATCATTACTTGGAGAGGAAGATGCATTGTATCCACAGAAATTCCTTCAAGTTATGAGTTGGGTAAGGTAGACACATGGTCAAAATCCATATATGAGGAAACTGTCTAAGGTGGTGATGTTTTTAATAAATATTTATTAGACTCTTGTATTTTTAGTCATGAGTATTTTTTTTTTTACTTGAAATCAAGCTAATATGCTGCAATCCTATTTTAGTGACCTCTTTGGTGACCAAGGACTACTTGTAGTTTGTAGAAAAGCTCCCTTTAAGGCAGGTGACTGTTGGAATGGCTTAGCAACCACCTGAACCTGGCTGCATGTTGAGAGCCTTTCTGTCTTCATCAGAACTAGGCCAGATGTGGTTGTGAAATGCATTTTTAACCTTGGAAATGCCTGACCAGGTGCTGTGCTGGTATTATCTGGTGCCTGGGTAAGCTTCAGCTTCCACCCAAAGGAGAGGCTGCAGTGTGAGCAAATTGTGTTTTCTCAGGGCCTAGTTATGTTTAGCTTTCTTCCCAAGACAGCTACTGGATTTTTAAGAAGCTAAAAGTTGGAGTCTGCTGAGGTAAATACAAAGATAACTTCAAACCTTTGACATTTAAAACACCAAATGGTAAAGAAATAATTTAGAAGATGTTTAAAATAATAATTTCTTGAATGTGAGGTGGTTTTTATTGTGTTATTTAGTACTATATTCTAATTTCAAAACTGAAAGCACTGCTCTGTGTGACTAAATGCATATTTTGTCTGTTCTGTGAATAGGTGTTGGGAGAATATTTCAGTCTTGTTACAGATGTTGATCCAGAAGTTATTTTGACAAAACTCCACAGCCTGCTGAAGAAGACTTATGTTACTTCTGAAACTAAAGCGTGGATAATGGCTGCAGTCACCAAGATAGCATCACATACCTCCTGTTCAGAAACAGTTGACAAACTAATCCAAGAATTTAGCAGCTCTCTAGATACCTGCATAAGACAATATGCCTTTGAATTGAAACATCTCTGTGAAGACAAAGCACTGATGAAAAATTTGCTTCCATTTGATGCTAGTTGCAATGATATGGTGGTAAGACAGCTGCACTGTTTGTTTTTCATGAACCTCTTTATAGTTCAGGGGGTTGAATATTTTGGTAAAAACGTGTTTTCAAAATGAATGGTGTTTGCAGTTCTGACTTGTGTTAGTTAAGTCTGCTTAAAGTGAGTTTTCAGAAACACTTTTTCAGGCATATGTGGTGAATCTTAATGTTCTGTACTGAAAGATAAAGAACCACAGTGTTAAGTAAGCTGGAGTTGCTTTTAAGAAAATGATCTTTTCATGCAGTTGTTTATTTGTAGTTGTCTTTTGGGTTTTTTTAAAGACATGGTAGGCCTGCTTTAGTGATATAGCACTGCTTTTTAATCCATAGAGTTTTCTTCTACTTAGAAACTACTAAACTTGATCATGAAATAATGGAAAAAATAATGGAAAAGAGGATTGATATTGCTGAGGTTTTTTAGAGGGTTTGTTTGAATTCAGTATTGCTGTATAATGGTAGTATCAACCATTTTTGGAAGATTCAACTCTGCTTTTTTTCTTTTTCTTTTTTCTTGTTTTATAAATTAATAAAGAAGTCAAACAGTGGAGGAGTTAAGTTACAAATCTCTAGCTCAAAGTCTGTTTAAACATACTTGCTGAACCATTGCTGTTAATACAGCAGCTCTACTGGTAGATATGGGAGATGAGAGAGTGAAGATCCTGATCTGATGATAAGACACAATATTCTACTGGTAACAGATATAGCAAATATTTTCATTGCCCTTTCGTTCCTTTTAATTCCATGTAGGTAGATGCTTCCTTATCTTTTCTGGATGGGTTTGTGGCCGAAGGACTTGGTCGTGGGGCAGCACCATATAAACCTCATCACCAGAGGCAAGAGGAGAAACTTTCTCAGGAAAAAGGTGAAAGTTTACAGCATTTATTTAATAGCTGGTAAATTAACTGATAACTGTACACTTTAATTGTTAATACTTAATACATTTTCTTGAAGTAATAGTATCTTAATACATCTCTTGTCTGTAGACAAGAGCTAAGTTCAATTTAGATTTTAGTTCCACATCAGTCTAGCTGATGGATATAGGTTGTTATTCTTCATGGGAGAAAGTTTTATTATAATCTCTGCTGGTCTGTAGGATTTGAAATTTATGGGGATTATTAAAGTGAAAGCCTGAGAAGTCCAGCAGTACAGGGATATTTGTTTTCAGAAAACAGATTTCTTTCCTTTTTTTGATGCCTCATTGTAATTTTAAGATTGTCTGTCTTGCAGCTCTGAATTTTGAACCTTATGGATTGTCCTTTGCTTCAAGTGTGTCCTCATCTGGTGTCACTGGCAGACAGTCCCCCACTGGTTTATCTTTTGGTTCTGATACATCTGGTAATAGTGCTGAGACAGGGCACAAAGAGTGAGTTAATCTGTGTTTGAAATGAAGCAATTTAAGCTTCTGTTTGTTGGTATCATGTCTTTGCTGCTTCATTACATGGAACTAGAAAGAATGCAGTTGAACTTGGAAACATCTGTCATGTAAAAAGAAATTCAGATAGTGGCATCTTTATAATTATTAGAAAAAACAATGTGGTTAGACTCTTTTTCTGCTTTCTTCACAGACCACAAATTAGGTGGTAGTAGATGCAGTAAAATGGAGACAAGTTTACCTGATAATTAATTTATTGTATTCCCATTAAAAACAAGTGTAACCTGTAAGAAAAAGATGACAGAGAAAAAATACTTAATAATGGGCCTTTTTAAGGAAACTTTTTTTTTAGATAAAAGCAAGGCTAAGATTTGCAGTGTAAGTTTTAGAACACTACAAACTATTCCAGGTCCATAACTTCATACGAATTAAGAAAATAATTCATAGTCCTGTAAATTGGTATGCAGGAAACCTTTTCAGAATCTTTCTGGGAAAATGTCTTCCCAGAACCTCTCTCCTGGGGAGAAAGATAGATAGCATGTTGCTTATATTTACTTTTTAAAAAATTACTCAAATATATTATAAATGTAGTCTGAAACTCTGGGTGGAGGTGGCAAACACAGTGTGCTACTGGTTGCAGGTGTTTAATGCTGCTTAATATAGGTCTGTACTGAAGTCCTGTATAGCCTGGTCCAAGTTTACATTTGTGGGATGTTTTAAAAGTAATGTAGCATTACTAACATAGAACTTCATGCAGATGCAAGTGTTCACTTATATTTCACTGCTCACTGTGTCTATCAAAGTACCAAAGCTGTGAATGGTGTTTTGAGTATTGGTGTGTTTTTAAGAACATGATGTTCATATGGCTGATCCTGCTTTGTTTTGTTTGCTTTTTTTAGGACAAATACTCTGAAACTTGAGGGAGTACGTAAGCTGTGGGGAAAAGAAGGTTATCTTCCAAAGAAAGAAAAAGTAGGGAAAGAAAATGAGCCACAAACAGTTTCTTGTGACAGCTTATTAGCAGGACAGGCAGGTGACCCTCCTGTGTTGAGGTCTGATCAAGGTGCCAACCTCACTGAGGAAGACAAAGAGAAGCAGCAGTTAGCATCAACTTTGTTTGTTGGGCTGGGATCAAGTGCTGGTGTCAGTCTGGTAAGTGGCTCTTTTGAGACTTAAGGATATATGTAAACTTTAAACTGTTATCTAAAATTATAGATATTTGTATGCAAATGAAGATCAAATTAGTGATAAGACAAATTTCCCCTAAGTAACTGAAAAGCTACTGAAAATTACTTTTGCAATCTGTTAATTTGTTAAGAACATGAAACAGCTTGGATATTACTTGATGAAGCAACATCTGGAGCAGATCTGGTTTGGTAACTAGAACTTCCCTCTGTTTATGTGTTGTGCTTCAAGTTTGAAGTCACAGTTTTCCTGAACAACTGTTCCTTGACCCAGCTTTGCAGAGCTGTTGCCATTCATTTGGCAGTAAGGCTAGAGCTTGAGACCTTGTGTCAAGACCATTTTTAATATGTGTGTGGTAGTATCTGGAACATAAGAATTCACCATTAGGTAATCTTTTTAAGACTGGCATCTTATTAGCCAGCTCACATCTTGGCATTTATCACTGGTTAACCAGAAACTGTTTAGCTGTGCTTAGTTTTTAATAAGAGCTTTTAGTTTGTTAAGAGAACCTAGAGTCATACTTGCATTATAAGCTAATTCAGTACCCTGTAAGAAATACAACAAAAGCCTGAATCCCTTAAAATGTCTGGAATCTGTTTGTCATCTGTATTGATTCCTTGTCTCTGCTCACTGTTTCGTTGTTTTAATAGTAACAGAATCATTTTTTTCTTTTCAGATGGGGAAAGCAGACACAGCTACCCAGAAGTTCAAAAGGAAATCAAAGATAAACGAAACTCAACATAGTGAGGAGGCATCAGACTTCAAAAGTAGTGCTGCTTCAGATTTTGGTCCCTTGCTTGATACAGTACCTATTAACACAGAAGACACTGAGGAAAGTACACACACAAGGTTAAGGAAAGCCTCCCTGTGCTCTTCAGATATTGTAGAAGATAATTTAGCATTTGAAACACCTCAGTCCCTTAAAAAATCTGTGCTGGATGACAGACTTTCAGATAATAGGCTGTCACAGTCATCTTTGTTTGCTGATAGTAATATTGAAATTTTTCAGCCTTCTCCAAGTGCTCAATGTGAAAGTGCCAGTGAAACACCATTGGTTCCTTCCTTACCAGAAGAACTTGAAGAGCTTCCTCACTCTGAGGTACTGGAACTTCATCAGAGTGATGCCTTAGCTCTGTATTTATGTAAGGCGTGGACAGATGACTCTTTGTTGCTCACTGTCTTAGTTTCCAATAAAACCACTTCTGCACTTAATGCTGTGAACTTAGTGTTTGAAGAAACAGAACACTTTCAGGTAAGAAACTGTGTTTCCATTGTATTTGAAATGCATGTGGAACTTCTTGCTTTTCTCTTGCATTTCACTATGCAGTGCTTGCTGTAATGGAATAGTCATGCCTTTTTCCAGAGTATTTCCTTAAAACTTGTGGTTACTGCTGTTACACATATTCTGAAGGCCAGTGAAAGAAATCTCAATATAAACTTAGTGATATTTGGTTTAAAAGTTAGCATCTTACTTTTTTAATTCACCTTGACTTTGTTTCCTAGTGCTTGCCTCCATATAACAAATCCGTGTGATTTCTCACTTCTGAATGCAAACCCAACCAGTTTTACTCAGAGTGGGATGACTTGAGTTGCTAAAGAAATCACTGTGTAACTTTTTTTTGACTGGGTATGACTATGGGGCTTGTGCTTTCACTTGTATTTACCTGATAGGCAAACATGATGCAGTTGCTTCCCTGACATAAAATTTGTGTAGCCTTGCTTTGATTTCTTCCCTCCTCCTCTCCCCCAAAGCTACCAGTCACATTTCATTCTCATGCTGATGGTGCAGAAGAGTTGGTCAGTTTATTTTTTTGCATTGGCTACATCTGGGATTTAACTAGGGTTGGTAAAAGCATGTTAGAGTCTTGATTGAAACTTCATTTAAATATTTGGAAAGGTGGCTAGGAATTGCCAGTCAGCATGACTATCCACAGATTTTGCTCAAGGAGCACAGAATTATTAAACACTCAGCAAATGATAACTGGATAAAGAGAAATAAGCAGGAAAGGAACTGCTAATTGGTTATGGAGTCTCCTTCCTTTCCTTTTCTGACTTGAATCAAACCTGTCCTTGTTAGAAAGTGGGTATTTCATGTCTAGTTTTTTCTTGTAATAAGTTCCCACACAGACCACTACCATGGATAGAATGTATGTTACTGGTTTGTTTGGAGAGGCTGGGGACTGCTGAGTAATCTTGAAATCATCCTTTTTATTAGGGAGGATTTCTCAACTTCTTCCTTTTAGCATATAGCTTGAGGTATGTTGAAAATGCTGCTTGCTTATATTTTGAGACTGAACTACAGAATTCAGGTTCTTGGTGCAGTTATTCAGAGGTGGGGGAAGCCGATTGTCAGAGATGAGTTTCACCACTGTTTTACTTCTCACAGAACACTTGTAGATGTTAATTATTGATTTATCCTTCATGAGGGCTGAGAAATAGTAGTTCTGTTCACTTATCAAATAGTCCAGGAAAAATCAATGGAAATAAAAGGCACACAATTTTCTAGCTGTATCTTTATCACTTGCGAAACTTGACAGCAAGACTTACGTTCTATATTCCTTTTGAAACATCACATAGATTTTGGAGAGTCCCACCCACCAGTTTCCTGTAATTGAAGCTCAAAGTTTGGAACATTGCCAGAAATGTGTGAGGATGAACAAAATCTGTACCCAGGGAATTCTTTCTGGCTCTGTTAATTACCAGTCAGAGATGGAAACTCGCCTTGAATTTTCAGTAACCTTATCACTGATGGACTTCATCAGGTAAATAAAAAGCTGCATTTTTTTAAAGACACCTGTACTCGACTCAGTATTAGACAAGGTCAGGATGATTTGGGTATTGACTTTGAAAATATAAGGCTCCTTCTTGAGCAGCTAGTTTTAATCTGAGATTACTGTTGAAGATAATAAAGAGTTATTTTACACTTCCAAAAGAGGGGAAAAGTTCCAGCAAGAAGTACAAATCCAGTGAGAATAGTGACAGTAGCTGCAGGTTAGAATAGCCTTGAACTACAGAATGTGTTTTTGAGGAGGCTGAAAACTGAGTGAACAGAAGGGCATGCTGTTTTAAAATATGGCATAATGTAAACATGTCAAACTGAAAGAAGTGATTTGAGTGCAGAGACCAGAATGTTATATGAAAAGGCTGACAACTTTTGCAGGGGAGGAAGAAAGCTCATCCTTTTAATTTCTGAACACTGCATTTATTTTAGGAGTAGAAAAAGCAAGTGTCCTTTTTTCCAGCAGACTTTTCTTTTGAAGTGAAATCCATATATTTATTCCTTTAAAATTTAGAAACCTAAAGCAAGGAATAGAAACTTTTATGTTAAGAGGAGTTTGTTTAAACTAACATGAATTTGCTTATTGCTTGTTCTGTTGTCCAGGTGCTTCCAGATATGATTTTTTTTGTGACCAAATATATTCTGACTTACATATCTCATTTTGCTAAAATATGTGGTGATCTTCTTTTTAGGCCAATGGAAATGACTACAGAAGACTTTGGAAAGCTGTGGTTGTCCCTTTCCAATGATGTGAAACAGAACATAAAAATGTCGTCTTCCCAAGATTCCCTTTCAACAGCCTTGAACACACTGCAACAGAAGCTGAAACTCCATATAGTTGACATTATAGGTAAGTGAAAGTATATTATATATGGTATACATATAATATATACAACTTTTCCCACGAAAATAAGTGCATGGAAGTGAGTATCTTAGAGTTTGAGGCAGGGAATGTTTGGGAGGACAGTAAACTGGGGACTGTTTTCCTGTGGACTTTGTTTGCCTTACTTGGGGTTCTTTGTGAAGGTGATATAAAGATACAAGTGTACAACAAACAGTAAATCTTACAAAGGAGGAAACTTGCATTACGAAGAGTATTGGATAGGACAGAAAGAAGGGAATGAAGCTCTGGGACAAAAATGAAGCTGGGATTTTAGCGTGATTTGTGGTGACTTGTTAGAGGAGTTAGAGGGAAGGGTAGAAGAGAACAGCACAGGTGGAGTTTGAAAGATACATTTATGAAGTATACTATAGCAATTGTTCCTTGTTACTTTTTTTTTCTGTGGTCTTTTTTGTTTTAAGGCAATGAGGGAATACTGGCATGCCAGCTGCTTCCATCTGTGCCCTGCCTGCTGCACTGCCGTACTCACTCAGGGATGTTGGCTGTGTGGTTCAGGTCACCTTGTGCTGCTCTTCCAGATGGTTTGCTCTATCAGTGTCAAAAGGTGATGGGGGAATCCTAATAACAATAGTGCCTGCCTTAATCTGTTTGGTGTGTGAAAAGATTTATACAGTTGCACAGATAATTACCAAAGCTAAATTAAGATACTGCTTCTTGAAGTATTAGAAGTTTTCTTCCAGCTGGCATGTGTCATGTGGACTTGTGGGGAAAGAACAATGACCTAAATTACGCCTGCAAAAACATGCTCAGGACTGTACAGTACATTAAAGTATTGTAACCTGTTTCAGTGAAATGTATATTTCTTAATTTTGTTGTAAATGACTGAAAGTATTTATTTTTATTATGCAGCTTTTATAGATGCCAATGATTACTTCTCATGGCAACTACTTAAATATGATTTTAAAGAAAAACATATTTCCATTATAGGGTCAGACTTGATCAGTTATCAGGATCATCTAATTTTATTTTGGTAATTTTTCTAAAGCTATTTTTAAGCACTGTTGGCAACAAGACCCATACTGGTGGTTGTATAAAGTAACTTATGTAGCAACAAATACACAGTTTTAAAATAGTTAAAAGATTCTAGGGAACAAAACACTTCCCATGATCTTTGATATTTACCATGGAAGTGGTAACATCTAAACAGTTTTTGATAGGAGATCACATGGAAGCACCTCCTGGGGGATGATCTAAGGCCCCTCAGGTTAGTTCCTGTCTGCAGTTCTTCCTGCCTCATGTTTCAGTCTTGTTCCCTTTCCATAGGGGTCTGTGACAGTCACTGAATATTTGTGCATCTCTAAAGCAAAGTTTGATGTGGATCAAGTCTGAGGTGACTGAGCTGGGGATAGTTGGCTGTGGACATGTTGACCTTGGTTATTGGGTAGTGAAACATGTTCATTGCTGTCCAGTCCATCCTATAAACTTAATCTGGCCAATATCTCTGTCCATGAAAATTCACATGGGGAAAACTTTCATTTATTTTTTCTTCTAATTATTTATAGGCTCAGTATGACTCCTCAAACCTCTGACTTGCACAGATGTTGTGTGTGCACTGCTAGGAACTGCAGCAAGGCATGAGAGATTAAATCAGAGCAGTATACATGGAAACTGTGTCTGAGGAGGTTGTTTTCTCTTCCTGAAATAACCTCAGAGTCTTGAAAATCCAGCAATCTTAATTTATTTAAATGCTAAATGAAAACTAGTACTGCTTAGTATTATTTATAGCTGGTCATGTTTTCTATTAAAAACATCAAAGGTTGTACACACGGTTCAGACATGGTATAAATGGATTCCACAATGGAATTCTCTCCTTTGTGTGTTTAATAGTAACAAGGAAACTCTCTGTTATATTTCAGCATTACCGATTCTCACCTGATAAGCACTGGTTGTAAAGAAAAATAAAGTATTGTTACTTTGATGTTTTGGTAAATGTTGATGAAATTGTCGTAAGAATGTTAATGTGCTGATAGTTTGGGTTTTTTTTTAAGTCATGCTACTTGTGTTATCACAAGTATAATCATATAAGCAAAGCTGTTTTTATTGCTGTTTCAGTACCCTCTTACTGAGGAATTTAAAGTGCACTGAACCTGTAAATATATTTAATGTTCTGCATACTTTAATGTTTACTTGGCACTTGAAGACAGTTTATATAAAAGAAAACTGATTTATAGTGGAATAATTTCCAGCAAACTATTTCCCTGCTGGTAAATTGTGTTATGCAATTGGACTTCTGTAATCATAGGAACTATAATACAAGTATCTGTTTGTGGCCTATGCATTCAAACCATTTCAGCAATGAGATGTTACTGTCCTAGTGTTTAAAAAGAACAGCAAAAGACAGCAATGCCTTCTGTTGTACATGTAATGTTCTTTGTAACCTTTTTCACTGTATGAATAGTGTATGTCAAAGTGTCAATATTCTAATTGCTTTATGGTATTAACACCACTTAAAGGAGTTTGCAGGGAATTGTACCTGTGTTGGTCTTTATTTTTGGATTGCCCAGCAAATGTTGTTCTGAATCTATCACCATCTTTGCATTTCTTGCAGTTTAATTAAATTCAGTTTTATTAAAAAAATGAGCTTAATACTTGTTACATGTTCTTTGTCACCACATGTAGCAGTGTTTCTGCATATTAAGAACTAGTTTCTATTTTAATTGTTTCTCTTTACATCTGGACAGTGATGAAGAATGTAACACTACAGAAGTCTTGAGTCCATTGGTGATTTAAATATCCTGTGTCTCACTTGGAGATACCAGAAGACTGCAAGACTACACTTTAGATCTTTGGAACAGCATTCTGTGTGCCAGCTCACATTGTCCAACCCTCTTTTTGGAATTCTGCCAGATTGTGTGTTTTGGTTTTAGGCATCACAGGAGACTTGAGTATCTCTTGTTATTCATAGTTGAGAGGAATAGCATTTTTTCAAGTTCAGAGCTGACATAAGAAAGCATTGCTATAGAGTTGGGAGCCTGGGGAGTTGGACATAGCAGCTGAACTGCAGGTGGCTGCAGCCCTGGTCTAAGTCAGGGTCTGTGTAAAAAAGCTGCCAGTGCTTAACAGGAGTCCTGGCTGAGCTGGGGAGCTCAGGCCCTTGAGACCTCAGCAATTCAGTGCTGGAACTCCCTCTGATCTTCCATCATCTAGCTGTCTCTGAAATGTGACTGCATAGATAATAATACAAAGGAATGTTTTTCCATCTAGTTCCGTATTGAAAATCCTTTTGTGACTATCTTCCTCCTCCGTGGTGTTCCCAGTTACTTTTCTGTGTGACTTGGTAGATCTTGAAGGCTTAAGCTGTTTTCTAGGGAAGGGAAATAAGGTGTATAGAAACAGGCTAGAAGGAAGAGAGCACATAACCAGTTTATATGAAGAAGTTTGCTTTCAAGAGGCAACCAGAGGCCAGTCAGTATAAACTGACCTTTCTGAACTGGCAGGTTAACAATGTTTGGACCAAACCCTGGGCACCAGGAGGCCTCACTGTTTTACTGCTGTGTGCCATGGGCAGCTTGGAGTTCTGAACATCTGGGAGTCAACAGGTAAGTGATTGTATTGGATCCATATTCCAACTGTTTTGTCAGCTCCTCCTTCCTTACCCCAAGTATTTTCAGATATTTTTAATGAAACAAATACTTTGGTAGGAAAATGGACAGAAGTGCAGCATGGCAGTATGATGTAGGGTATTTTCCTAAATATAGGTCAAATCTCTTGTGTTACATTACTTTCTGCTAGGTATTCCCAAATCCTCCTCATCCTTTAAGGACCTAGAAGAGGTAAATTTGTGTAATGGATGGCACTATCTTGAGATTTTCCTGTACTTGCAAATAGCTCATAAATGACATTGTCTGATGGTTTCTAAATATTGGAAAGGTGTTTATCTCCTATAGGATCCCACCAGTAGTTTTTCAGCCTAAAAAGCTGTGTTATCTTTTTCTTTGTGGGTAAGACTGTGCATTGTCTCTTTCTGGCATTGATTTATGTAAAAACAGAAATAGATCCGCTTAAGTCATCTAGGTAAAGTTGCTTTTGCATTTCAGTTGCTGTGGTAAGAGTTAATTGTGCTTTACCTCTTGGTTCTCTTCAGGGTCAGCTATTTATGTGCCTTTCTCTAAGAACATTTCTCTAGCACAAATCAGGTCACATGTTCAGTGTGAAGTGCTGCTCAGTGGTACAGGGACCATTTCATCAGAGTGCCAGAAGTGGTCACTCCCATGAGAGTTTCTTGAACATTAACATTTTTCTCTTTATTACATAAAGCTGGCAGTGATGAAGCAAAGAATATTGTGTCCTCCCATGACATGATTCATAAAATTAACTTGACAGCAATGCTTCACCAGCAGGGAGGTTCAAAGCACCACTTAGGAAGATTGCTTTAAACTCAGATTTTAAGGTAGTTGTCAGTTTTCTCTTTGTGCCAGCCTTTAATTGCTTTCAGTATAATTGCCATGTGAGTTGTTTGCAAATCCTGAGCTCTTTCAGCCAAAGCAGTTTGCTTTTTCTGGGAATAAGGATGGGACAATATGTGCTTGCTGTTGTTAAAACATTCTGGTAGGTTCTAGCACCTCCGTGTTCAGGGCACGGCTTTGAAATCTGCCAGGGATGTGTCTTCCATGTAGTTTAAATCACATGGAGCTAAACTGAGCTAAATACATTAATGGAAAACTTGCAAGAAGGTGCTTGCAAGAAGGACAGTGAGATCTTGGCCTGCAACGTGCTCTGCCCCTGCCCCAGGCTGCTCGTGTCTGTTCCAGGCACCGGCTCAGGCCGAGCCCAGGGAGAAGTGGTACCTAAAGGCAAGAAGTCTGTGCCATTTCCTCCCCGTGGCTTTATGAGGGAATTTCTGAGCTTGGTGATGGGGCTGCTCCACTAAACACACTGAGTCAGCGTCGTTTGGTAGCTCAAGTGCCTGGAGAACATTGTGGAAAAACAGAAATTCCATTTGCTGCTGACACGTGTTGGTGTTGGGTGCGTGTGATGCAACAAGGATGGTAGAATAAATGAATCAAAAGGAAACAAAAAAGGCAGTAATCACACATTTTTAATCCACAAATGTGATAATACATAATATACTTAAGGTGACCTGAACATTGCCCATATTTTAGCAATGTTATTACATACCAAGCTACAGGTACAAAAGTAAACAATGAATATACAGGATATGCAAGTATGAGAAATACTTGAAAACACCTCTTCCTTTAAGGCTACTCAGATTATTTATAAATAAAACAACAGATGTTCAGCTGGTGTGTCTAAAATACCAGAATCTGAATATTGATACTTGCAACACACAAAAAGTCACAGATACAGGATATCCCTTTCCTTTGGACATCTTGAATGTTGAATAATCTCTTTTTCTGGCTTTCAAAAAAAAGAACTTAAATTTGTTTGCCACAAATGAAACACGCAAAATCTGACGTGTGTGCACTGGGACAGGAGCATTGGATACAATAAATACTGTTCAAAAGCATCAATTGACAAGTACGTGCTTGGAAGAAATGCAGGTAATGGGCATGGAAATATGGCTCTGCAAATGGCTGAACTTGCAACCCCAACTGTTGGTATTCCATTACTGTTTTGCAAAGGAGTTGTCCACCTTCACTGCTACTAAAATACACTTTTCATGGTTAAAGGAAATAGGTGGGGAAAATTTACATTGTTACAAACTGCTCTGCTACTGTCTTTCATTTTTACAGTGGTTCAAATGAGTTCTGGGAACAGATACAAATCCATCCAGCACAACCCAAGTGAATATGTGACCCGGGTATGTGTGTTCTCAACTGTATAAAGGTGTGATAGTAAAAATTGTTGCAAGAGATAAAATATCTGGGGTGAGGAAAGACAGAAGAACGATAAAGTTTTTGAACAGTTTTCTCCACCACCATAGTATTCAAGAGTTTAAATGAAATATTTTTTTTCTTATCCTAAAGTAGTGAGTGATCAATCCTGTAAGCTTCCCTAAGAGAGAAATGGCTTTCAAATATATTTTCTTGTCTTTGTCAAATTTCAAGTACATGCATCTCTGTATTATATATACATGAAAGGGAAGGTGTTACCTCTAGATAATGGCATTTTCTGCTCTCTGTGCCAGATGAAAGGAGAGGGTACCTGATACTGCAGTGTCAGGAGCTGGAGCAGGAGATTAAGATGTAGAAGGCGAGGAGAGGAGAGATTTCTGAACGTGCTTCCTTTACTCTGGGTCAGTCAGCACCTACCCAGATTCTACAAGTGGCAAAGCTGGTGTATCTGCTCTGCTCCCATCCTCCCTTCATCCTAAAAGGACTGTACAAACCCCACTCTTTCTTGGCAAAATGTTTTCAGCTTGAAAACATAAAAAAAAAAAGCCACTGAAAACATTCAGAACAAAACTCATTCCAGAAGCTCACCAGAGTCACTAAGGCTGCTCTCGTTTAGCTACTGTGGATATGCTACACTCAGAGGCACTGCAAGAATGGTGGATGGGCATCCTGTTGTATCCCACCTCTGATTACTGTAGGCACAAATGTCATGGGCACATTAAACCACGAGTGGTATCGAGGCTGAATACGCTGAGGACAGGGGATGGAAACGGTGTCCATTGTGCTTCTCACGAGGGAATTTCAAAATCTTCACAAAGAGTATTTTATTCTGTCAGGCAGAACAGTAAGAGCACAAAGAGCAGCACAACCTTCAGCCTAAACTTGCCTGATGGTACCCAATACACAAACCCTGAGTGTGGGGGAACTGCTGGACTGCTTTAGTTTTCTGGTTACCTTTGAGCTTCAAGCACTGAGCTCATTTTCAAAATTAAAATGAAACCTTCTATTAGCAGGTATAAAACAAAACTCTGAAAATATTGCTTCCTCGAGCAGTTCTTTAAATTGTCTCCCACTTCTACTCAGTTTGTATGATTTGTTATTCCCCTATTAGATTTACATACCATTAAAATTAAGAGAGGTCTTCTCATATTAATTCCTGATCCCTTTGAAAGGAGTGAACTCAATCCATTACAGCCCTACTTTCTGTCAAAGCTTTTTCAGGTAGTGTGGAAATAATAAAAATATACACACCAAGGGCCTGGGAGTAAATTCCATGCATTGCTCTTGCCTTCACCTGTCTATTTTTACATAGCCATGCATATGAGTTTCCTGTCTTTTCTTGTGTTCAGCCTTGAACACAAAGCTAGCAAGATCCTGGGGTATGGCAATCTCTTTCTGAACAACATCTATCAGCAGTCTTGTTCACTCCGCTCCTTGAGAAAGACTGAATTATCTGAACAGAACATTAAAATTGATAGCTTTCTGATTTAAGATTTCCACTTCATCATGAGCCTGGTGAGCACTTTCTGGACCCTGCTGGGGCTGTAGTAAGACTGATGGGAAGGGAGCTCACTTGCCTACCACGGCTCATGAAGGGTGGCCAGTCCTAGAGAGAAGTTTTTGTTTGGTTTTCTTGCTTCTGAGCGTAGCTTCAAAGAACCTTCTCATCAAGTAGTTTGTTGATGCCATTGCAGATCTTTTTGAGGTACGGCCGACAATCCCCATCCAGGCTGTACAGGGCAGTCAGAAATTCCACGTCCGCAAAGTGGTTGAAG